TCCTTGGTACTGATTTCGAATGAACCATGTTCAGTATGTAGTTTGTAGTTTTCAGAGATTCTTCCCAGAGAAAACTAGGCAGCTTCATGCTCATTACCATCCCCATCAATGTTCTATTCCTTCTTTCTGCTACCCCATTCTGTTAAGGTGTTCCAGGGGTGGTATATTGTGCCACAATCCCTTGTTGTTGAAGAAAACAAGCAAAGGGACCTTTCTGTTAATCTACCTTTATGTGCCTACCAAAGTACTCATTTATTTGATCTAACAATCTTAATCATTGCATTTAACTATTTTTCAACTTCACATTTGAAGATCTTGAAGCAATTAAAGACTGAGGACTTTTCACTAATTAGAAAGAGATGACAATATCTGGAAAAGTCATCAATAAAACTCACAAAGAGATGACAACACAGCTTCCTTCCATCTTCTTTTTTAAGATCGGTCTGTAAGATATATGCATACATACCATGTTATAGATTGTAAAGATGCCATTGAACCACAATCATCAAGAACATATTGTATATGCAGAGATGAGATAGAACACATGCCTGCAGCACTAGATGAAGATGATGAAGCCATTGAAACTCCTTGAAATAATTAATCGTCTCCTCTTTAGCAATTCGCTAGTGCTCTCAAAGAATAGGTTGAATCAAATTGATCCGTACATTGCAAGAGCAGTGGTTAACATTTATATACCGAGCCAATCCTCACTGATCTCCTATTAGAATCAATGTAGGATTCAACTATCCAATTCATACCAAAACATATGAATAATCACAAACCCAGTACTACTTTAAGTGCTATACCAAAACTACCAATCCCATAAGGTTTAGGACTACTGAAGCTTATTAACAAGACTTTTCCATATCCAATTCTCACACTATAACCGGACCTAATGTTATGTTCATACTCATATACTAACACAGTCAACCCCATTTTCCTAAGAACTTTCAACTCTCGTAAGGTTGTTATGATTTTTCTGTTATTTTTTACACTAATTGGTGACAACTTTTGTATGGAGGATAAAGATGAAATGTTGCCTGCAAAGACCTCTACGCTTCTTGCAGCTTCAAATGTCACATAATTCGTGACATCATAGCGATAGACTAAAAGGTGGTGCAAATTGTGGAGCTTATAAATCTGTTTTGGTAAATTGGCCACTTTTGTGTGCTTAAGGTCTAAGGTTTCCAAGAATCCAAGCTTCTTTATGGACTTTGGCACTTTTTTAATATTGGTGTGCCTTAGACTTATGTACCTCAAGAGGGTGAGACCAAAAACAGAATCGGGAAAGTTGTCCAAATTATCCCTTGCAAATCTAAAACCCTTAAAAATTTAAGGGCCTGTTTGGTAAAAAATTTAAGGGCTTGTTTGGTAATGTACTTGAATCCAACTTTTTAAACTCAAAAACAATTTTCAAGTTTTAGACCTTAAAAACTTATTTGGTAAGACTATTTTCAAAAACCAAACTCAAGACTAACTAAAAAATATAGTCTATTATTTAAAAACATAAAAAGTGAGTTTTTAGAATTTTTAAACTTAAAACTCATCCCTTTCTTTTTTTTTCTCCCTCCTCCCCTCTCACTCCAAATCTATCTCTCTCCTCTCTTTTTTTTTCTTTTACTTTTTTCGTCTCTCCTCCAATCCGTTCTCTTCATTCTTTAGGTTCTTTTTCTCACTCATCTTCCACTCTATCTCATCCGATCCACTCTCTTCTTTCTTTTTCCTTTAATCATCTCTTACTTTCTTTCATCATCTCTCCCCTTTCTACCTCTCTTGCAACCCCCTCTTTTTTAGATCTCTTTGTTCTAGTTTAAGTTGTAAGATTTAAAAATTTTAAATTGCAAACCAATCAAGTTTTTGAATCTTAAAGAAAATTGTTTTCAATAAATGTTCTTAAAAAATGTTTTGAGAAATGATAAAAATTTTCAAATAGGATACCAAACAAACCCTAAAGATTTTAAGTAGTCTTTCAAGCTCGGAATCATAACTTCCATGCCCACTTAATAGTATGGTACGAGTACAACTGAAATCTCTTACCACTTTAAAAATAGTTGCCCTCACTAACATCATGAACAGAAAGGTGTCGAATTTTCTCACCTGGCCTAGCACCTCTGCAGTTTGCTGCCAACAAGACAGTGATGAAATCCTTCGCTTCTCGAATGATGAACTCGCGAACAAGGTTCAGTACACGGAAGCTTCTGACTCTTCCGTCGACTTCCCATGAACTCACATGAATTAATTTCTTCCAATGAGTTCATTCAGATAGCCTTCTGGAACTTCCCATGAAAACACAACTCCTTCAGCTACCCGCAAGCGAATTAGCCTTTCACGGCTAATGGAGTAGTCTCCAGGAATCATGCCAAAGAACAAGAAACAAGTCTTAAGAAGGTCCTTGTAACTTGGTTGCAATATTTGAGTAATAATGGGAACATTTGATCCGAGGCTGTCATGTAACTTCTTCCAGTCAAGTGGAGTTGGTCGCTTCATTGCTAGCAAAGTACCAACAGCTGAAATTGCAAGGGGCAAGCTTTCACACTTCTTAACGATTTTTTCTGCCCAGTCCAAAATCTGGGTTGGACACTTTCCTTTGCTATTGTGAAAAGCCTTTCTGCAGAATAGATTCCAAACTCTTTCCCATGACAACACATTGCTCATATTGTGGATGTACGAAGATTTTGCATGAAAAGACGCTACTTCAGAGTTACGAGTGGTTATGACTATTTTACTCCCAGGTAAACCATTTGGTAAAGCATCTACAATGCATTTCAAATCTTGTTTGCTCCAAACATTATCTAACACGACCACAAACTTCTTGTCCTTCAGAGCTCGTGCCAATTGCGCCTTTGGATCTTCATGAGTAACTGATTCCTTCCTTTTCCCTTTTGGATTAAATTCGCTTAACATGTTGAGCAAGAGCTCATCAAGTTTACGGGCACACAAGTCACGCAGCACATCAATCCAAGCATGGCATCCAAAAAACCGTTGGACCTCTTTGCTCTCGAAGACATTCTTCAAAAGAGTGGTTTTGCCTGAGCCACCAGGACCTACAAGTGAAATATTTGGATCTCCTTCCATCAACTGACTGATAAGTTTTTCTTTAGGCTCCTCAAACGCTACTATTTCTTCTTCTTCAAGGAATTGGTTATGATGAGTCACCGTACTATCTCCATGTCTTGTGGTGCTGGAACTTGGGCGACTTCTTTGATCTCGTCCCCGAACTTGGTGAATTTTATCAAGAGTTGAAAGAAAAACTAGCTTATTGTCAACAATATCTTTAATTCTGTCCGATAACTCACCACATGAACCAGAAATTCGTCAAGAACGTCTTCAATTTCATAAGCTATATTTCGGATGTCTCCTGTTCTAGTTTGAAGCACTTGAAAGCCTTCATCATAAGCAGTCTGTTCTGATGATGAGTATTCACTAAGATATGCTCGCATCCTCTCTAAATAACGGGGATTATTATTATTATTAATGTTCGATCGGCTGAATTTTCTGTGGAGGAAGATTATCGCTTTGTCCGCATAAAACAACGCTACTGGTACGGCTATTTCAGCCATTTGTACAAGAAAGGGCAACCTTCCAAGTTGCAGAAAATTACTTCTGTCCGATCACAAAAGGAAAGAAGAAAGAAAGTTGCTTCTCGCTTACTCAGTTGGTGCAAGTATTGCACTAGCTGGCTAGAAAAAGACTCTGGACCGAAAATGAAAAACAAGAAATTAATAACAGCATACAACTCAGCTAATTGCAATGAGAGGTTGACGAAGGGATTGAACAATGAATGGGTCTGAAATAGTTATTTTCTTGAGGATAATGAGAGTGCATGGTGGTGAGCACCAACTTATAAAGGCTGAGAAAAAGCAACATTTTATATTATTTTTTTTATAGAGATAATAAGACAAAAAGCAATAGGAATATAAAATGTTGACGTGGCTTAACCGTGACCGCACAAATAGAAGGGGATGGAAAGGGTACCCAAACAGGAGAGACAATCTGCCTCCATTTCCACCTAGCTACAATATTATTACAACCGTATATTTTATTTCTGCTATTGTTGATACTATTTCTTTGGAATCACTAATTTTCTATGTGACAGTTGCCTTGGTTAATCTCGAATTAATGCCACCACACAAAAGAATACTTTGTGCAAGTTGAATTGATGAATTTGCAGAGCAACTCCCAGAAAGGGACCACTAGTACACCGATCAATTTCCCAGGAAAACGACTCAATAATTCCGGTTGCCATAAAGCTATAAGATATGACCATGTCCTCCTCCTCTGGAAAGGAAAAGTCTTCTCTTGAATCCTAGGTCTTGCAGTGTAATCAAATTGACGAAATTCTCATATAGAACAAACCCATGGTTTGTTATATTCAGTTAACCTTAGTTAACAGATATTTTTAGTTCCGTAACTTAATCTAAGCTAGGTGAAATTTTGGGGCTGCAGAGTTTCTAATCCTTTATTTCCGCTTGGAATTTAAGAAAGGATTTTTCAACACAATCAAGCCTTCCCGTGGCCCATCCATTTGCACGGACTGAACAAAGTCCAGCCCCAACGTGTGGGTTGAGGCTTGAAAATATGTCACACGTAAACACAACAAACACGACACGTAATTGAAAAAGAAAAAATGATCTAGAAGAGTGCGGCAAATGTTCTGATGAGTGATTTTCAAATAAAGCAAGCAGCGGCAGCAGCAAGTGAACCGAGTTCATCATATCTTTACCAAAACACTTGCAATCAGATTAATTAATTAGAAATTCAAATGGACAAATTTGCAAACAGTTTCACACTCGACTAATGGATCGGACAAATTTGCCAAATCCCGTAGAAATTCAAAAATGAGGAACCACAAACATACACATATAATCAAAGGCTAGTGAAAAATAAATACGTATTTAATTTTATTAATACTGAATTTTTAATATTAAATTCAAAATTTTAAATAAAATTTTATGAAATATAGAAAAGCCTTGCCACAAAAAATAAAAAATAAAGGAAATTCAGAAAGCCCTTGAAGGTGTTATAGATATTACCAGCAAAAAATGCCCGCGTGATGCTGCAGGATTGAAAACAGTACATATGGTACTACTTACATACTTGATGTGCAAGTACATAATATATACATAGACCACATTATTTTATGATGGCTAATTGATCATTCGTATATTTCACTCTATTTACAAAGGCGGCCACCGACATTGTTGCCCGAACTTCTCCATTCGTTCTAGGGCATACATAATGCCATACATAATGCCTCAGTTTATGAGTCTAAATGAAATCTAAAAATAGACAATAAGGTGCAACTCAGCAGAATCAAAGACACCAAAAAATAAATATGATTAATTTAGCATAAACAGACTTGCAAGTTCAAATGCAAGAATGCAAATGAAGACAATTTACTCCATTCTGTTCAGCAAGAGGATAAGGAGGCGATGAAAATAGTATGATTTAATGATCCTACCTTTAACTTGATTCGAAGGAAGGGCATTGAATGTTGACTCAACAAAATTTTGCACATGAATTTTGAAGAAAAAACAGATAAGCCATAAGTCATTAAATTAGCGCAAAATCTGTTTGTCCTTCGAAAAGGAGCTAAACATATCTAAAACTCAAAGCTGAGAGAAGAACAAACAATATATCTCATAAAATCCACAAAATCCTATACATGGAAATGTAAATACCTACCACTTTGTTTTGATTCTTTGGCAGAATCACTAATAGCATCCGGCCTTTTCTTGCTTGGAGATGCATAACTCAGCTGCTCATTGTGTGGGGTGGCTGGAAAACCAGTAGTCTCACCATTACTGACAATATTAATGCTCGAATCCTCTTCATTGGAAAACAATGCAAGAATTCACCAAACCAAAAAACTAAAAATTGATCGCAGCAAAAAGTGCAGGATTTTAGCAAGCCTATGAATGAAAATATACACAATATTTCCAACCATATCATTCCCACTAATACGATAATATCAATAGACTTGGCCAAGTTGAACGCTTATTCGTCTAATCAGTTTGTTAGAATTAAAAAAAAACATCTAGAACTTTGCTTTATCCGAGATCTGTGTGCATGCATAGATAGACACACACACACACACACACACACACAAAAATTAAAAGAATAAAGGAAGACAGAAAACTGAGAACTGTATGTAAACTAAGATGCATCTCAAGAATGATTGATGAAGGAGACGCTCTTTTTTCTTTTCTTTAGACAAAGTAACTAATGTGATCAGAAAACTAATTTAAATCGTTGAATTGCTCTCATCAAACTTTGTATCTGTTTTGGCCTTAATTCACATGATTGCGGACATGCAAACATCGTGGCCTTGAATTTAAAAACCTTAATCAATGCAGTGCATACTCAGAAATATGGAAAGTTCCAAAGAACATTATATTTTAGAAACTTGTGTTCGAGTTTCGAATTTCAGAGTTAATATAACAAAGTCAACCTTGAATACAATAATTTAAAACAGAAGAAAATGTATCTAAAAAAAAGTAATCGATGAAAAAATGGAGAAATATGCATGACCCTTGGAAGTAAGAAACAGCTATATCTGGAAGCCTTTTTGATGAATTCCTCAACAATCTAACGCAACTCAAACACTGAAGTTTAACAGAATGGGAAACCACTCACCAAGTGGACTAAGTTTTACACACAAGACACCATTGCAACATGCTGTCACTCTATAATTCTCATGCAAAATCATACGACACGCAGACATGACATTCTACATACGCATGCTATATGCTTATATGAAGAAGAGTCAATATGGTGTGTAAAAACAAATTCTTAATAAAAGAGATAGTCAATTCTAATTGATAGAAACCTTATAGTTCACATTCATGGATAAACTGTTAATAAAAAAATGCCAGCCATGCAACTGTTAATAAAAAAGCTTTCAATCTCGACATAAGATTTGATATGTACAATCAAAAGATATTTCACATAAAACAAACACATATCCACTCTTTATCTAACTGAAGAAACTGAAACAAAGTAAAGCAAATTATATACCTCAAAATGTCAAGTAACCAATTTGTTACACAAATACAATCAAATAAGCTGCCAAAAGAACATTAATAAATGAAAATTACAAAACAAAGAAATAATGAGAAACCAAAATATGCATCTCAAAATCTAATCGCTTTTTAGCCTGCTGGCCATTTTTAGTTCTTGAATTTAGACAGTTAAACCATGACTCAGCACATGAATGAAGCGAGAGCGTAAAAGATAAGTGGGATAAGCTAAAAGTCATCCTTGAGTCATGCATTTACTTTCAAACTGTTCCAAAATAGCTAACATCTTTAAAAAATGAATAACTTAAATGCTTAAGTTAGCCATAGGAAGCCTACAGAACAAAGTTAAACATGAAGAATGAATAAAATGCCAGACAGATTTAAACAGCATACCAAAAAAGGAGTTGCAACGCTGAATTTTTCTCGACTTACCTATTTAGTGAGTTAAATCTGCAACAGAGAAACAAATGAAAAAGTCAAAATCCAGAAATCCAAGTTTAACTCAATCAAATATAATAACCAATGAAAGTTGCAAGCTGCAAATACTCAGCAACGTAGACAAAGAAATTTGTTTCTCAAAGACTTAATTGGTCCTCTATTTTATTAATTGTCATTTGGGAAAGGAAATTTGAGACAACACCTCATCAAAGAGAACCATATATGCATTTAAGTCATGGTACAATGGGCTGCCTTCGCTGCTGCAGTGATCTAATGCTTTGGCAATGTTCAGAGCAACTGTTAGTCGTATAGCCCACTCAATGGTCCGATTCTCCCCTGCCAAGGAAGTGTGAGGTGAATTTATACCTGAAGCGCTTTGAAAAGCTATAGCAATAAATTTCAGAGGTCACTTGTCAAGAATATGAGAATAGGAAGAGCAAAATAGTAATCACAATTTGAAATGAAAATAGCACACGTGTAGATAATAAATCAGCTTTGTGAAAGTGGTCTGAGATCAGACTATTATGCTCAAGCAGAACAAATGCATTATTCGAAGTGATGAATGACTAAAAAAAAAAGCAATATCTTATGTAAAAGAAGAGAAAATTATATCTTCACAGAACTGTGGCCTCATCCAAAAGTCTAGCCAAAACAACATCCTAAAAGTAGTAGTCAAAAGTAAGAAATGAAACAGAAGAAGTAGGAAAAACAAAAAGGTTTAACAGAAAACAGGCAACCTTGAAATATCCAACTTTATACGTCTGGTGTATCTTTGACAACACCATAGCATCTTTAATCGGTATGGCCTGTGCAAAATGAAATTGTCAATCCTGATTCACAGAGAAGAAAAAACCAACTCCCGTGTAAATTAACATTCTATCCAACATTCCTAGTCCTTAGCCCCAATCCCAATCGAAAATCCCGACAGCACAAAAATTATTAGTCCTAACAATGTATAAATTATATACACACATATATTCACACACACATATATTTATATTCACTAACAACATTGAGTTCAATCCAAATCTATGGTCCTAACGATGTACTAAACACATAAGAAACACAAGTCCAACAAGGACTTGAACCATCTTTCGAGAGTCACCATAGCTTTCCTTTGCCCTTTTTCTCTTTCTAATCTCAGCAGATATTATCTGGAAACATATAAAAACTACAAAATCACAACTCGCTTATACTGGATCAATGTTTTGCTCTGAAATCTCTATTTTAGACTTAGTATCAAGAAACGAAAAAGTCTTATTTGCAAAAGATAACTCATTCATCACAAACCAACAATACATTTGCAGTAACTGTTTAAATCAGAATATATGATTATCATGAACTGCAGCATTAGCATTCTAATTAGAAACTTGTAGCCATAAAATTGAACATTTCACTACCGCCTTTGATCGCATTAAACAATCCGATTATCGATAATGACCTTAGCAGAAGCTTGAATTTCGCTGGCAGTCATATCCAAAGCAAGTGCATAACCTTACACCATCCGATTTCGCTAATCAGATTTAAACTTAAAACCAAATCATTAACAGGATCATTATATTAAAACTAAATCATGCAGCAACATTACTAACTGATTACTTTAACTAAATCATTAACAGCAACACTATTAACTGATTAATTAACTGACCTTCAAAAAATAAAATAAAAAGTGATTAATTAACAAATAACAGTAACAAAAATTACAAATTTACCCGCAACGTAATCCATGGCGGTGGATTGCGGAACATCGCGAGCTTTCTGAGACATGATCACCGCCACCTCATGGTCCAACGATAACAGAGGGTGAGGGACTTCGATCGTGCCGCCGTTCATCAAGTAAGACAACGTCGGTTTAAGGAAAAGCACGGGCTCCTCCCTAAATCAGAATTAAGAGAGGAGGGGGGAAGAGGAGAGAGAAAGAGGTGGAGGCACCATTTCACGTAGTTTACTTTGTATATGTATAAAGACAATTTCTTTACCAAAAATGTTATTCATACTACATTTTTATTTCATATTTCTATATTATTTTAAGTGGTATCTGATATGGACAGTCACATCATTTGAAAAAAATTTGCAAAACCTAAGGAAATGAAGGAGAAAAACTCCACGTATACCACAATCATCATTTAATTCATTAGTTTTTCTTAATTATTAGTTTATTAAATAATAAACTAAATTTAAAAATTTGATTAATTCAAATGATTTGGCTATTCACGTCAAATGTTACCTAACATGGTATAAAAATATGATGTAAAACACGATATGAATAACATTACTCTTTGTTTCTTCACATAATCAGCTCAAAGGTCCCCTTGCCAAAATACATTATCCAACTGAAATAGATTTATGAAACTATAGAAGTATCCCCTCTTTTTAAACCAAATCTAACTAATTTTATGTCATTCCGGAAATGGCGTATCTACTATTTCCTGCAAGATTTAGATTTTGTAGTAAATTCATGATGCAACCAATTGTATTGCCTAAAAAATCATATGGTGTACACACCACCACCTTCCACTTGTATGCCGTTTTGGACTTTGTTGCTAGGGGAAAATTCTTTCCCATTGACTTCTTTCCTTGGTGGCTGCGGTTTCAATGTGTGTGGTGCTTGGTGGAGGAAGATGGAGCCTGCTTCTTTGGGGTTGTGTTTGGTGCGATCTTTGGCATGGGATGCTAGATGGTGGTCAGGCGGCAGGTTCTTCGACGGCATCGACGGAAGCTAGTCTTTTAGGGTTTTTATTTTTCTGTTTTTAGGCTCTTCTCTTGGGTTGGGCTTTTGTTTAGTGTTTGGGGTTCGCCTTTTGTTTTGGTTTGTTGTGTAATTGGGCTACTTTGGTTGTTCTTGTGCTCTCTTGGTAATGAAAATTACCTTTGTCCAACCCCTCTTTCCCTTAAAAACTCTAAACACCTGGAATCTCGCTCCAAATCATGACAAAATGATTCATGAGCCTAATTGAAATAAATTAATACCTTGACTGACTAAATGAACCGAGAATGAAGACATCTAAAATCCTATTAATTAAGTACAATTACCAAAGAAAGCTGAATAAAATGTCAAAGTTGATACATTGAAATAAGATTGATGGCATCAAAATCACTAAGAAAATAATAAAATATGCACAAACCCAATATGCATCAAAATCACGAAGACTTGATTTCACTTGCTTGTTAAAATATAAAAAATTCAAATAATATTGTTTCCAATAACTTGTTTAAAGAAAATAAAAAATAGTCACCTCTAAGGCTTTAACCATATGGTGCGGGTACTTCCTCTAAAACCCATGGATTAGTCTTAAAATCAAAAATTTTTACTCTTGATATATTCCTAACTACTAAGATAGCCTACAGACCTCACCAAGGTAATAAGGCGGCACATGCAGTTACACCTTATTCTTTCAAAAAGAGTGGCACTCATAGTTGGAATTGCATGGGCCCTAAGTTCTTATTTAATATTTTTGTGGAGGATATAAACATTTTAATTAAAATTTTATCTTTTGGAAAAAAAAAAATCAAAAAATACTATTGATCCTAACCTAAATTAATTCTGCTTTAAGTCCTCAAGGGTCAACTTCACAAAAGGTAAACTTGTTATATATGTTCATTAAAAGGTGACCAAAATATATATATATATATATGGATGAGAATAGCAATTCTTTTAAATTTATTTTTTTGTTGTCAATTATTTAATCTCTAATATTGTATTTTAATGGCCACTTAGTGTTTTCTAAAGTATTTATCTCCATTTCAAAATGAGAGATTTTAGATTCAACACGTATAAAAGACAAGCTCAATACCAAATATTTATTATAGACTATTGCTAGGCTTAATCAAACCGGTCAGCCCTTAATGTAAATGTAGTTGTACTAAAAGAGCATTGTATGTATTAAGTATCAAGCAGATCCTGCCAAACAAGAAAAAGCACCTGCCCAAATCCATAAAAATATAACACAAGATTCTTGCTGCAAGTTGCATTTGAAAGTAAATATCCTAAGAAATCGAGCACCTGGAAAGACCATTAAAAATGCAAATCGCATTTGAGCTACAAAGCTGAAAGCTTCAAAGAATAAGGTTATTGTATAAAGCCAGTACCTTTATTATAGGTTCATAAATGTGATTGATGGAAACTGTAGAGTTGACAAAAACATAACTTAAGAAGAAATTAACTAAACGTGACCCATGCATTTGTGCTAATGATCAGGAGAGTTTCTTTCGGTTCCTGACCTTCCACTCTTTGATATTAGCTTCAATCTTTGCTTTCACACTTTTATGAAACCCTGGATAAGGTTCATACCCAAAGGCTGATTGAAGAAGCTCAAGCAACACGAAGTAAGGCCCCATCAGAAGTGCTTGAGCAAAGTTGTCTGCAAGAGCTGGCGCTCTTTTTTCAAAAATCCCGTGGCCTAGGAACTGTCCACCCCAGCAGAAAACCTGAGCAGCAAGAACAAGCTTCCATGACTTAGCAAACCCTAGCCCACTAGCAAGAACATTGGCTCCAACCCAGCAGAGAAAACATAGAAAAGCTGCCAAGGACCCAGCTTTCTTGTCCAATTTGACATAAAAGAAAGCATACATAAAAGTTAAAACAAACCCTAAATTCAATTTGAAACCATGATTGTTAAACCCAGATGAGAAATTGTAGAGAGAGGGTGTGAAGTGGAAAAGAACAGCAGCGGTGAAGAATAATGGCCACACAAAGAAAGTGTGAATCAAAATGTTAACTGGGTTGCTGTGATACGCCCCATTGATGGCGAAGTGCCTTTCAAGATCAAACAATCCAGTCCTCCCCATGAAATTTTTTCTTGCAAAGTTGATTAATTTGCTTCTGTTGAAAAAAGTACAGGCTTCCCTTGCTCGGAAACTAGACTGAGAAAATGAATTAAATTGGATATAAATTGGAGCCTAAAAGCAAGGTAGTGGAACGCTCCTGGTATCTATACTTTGGACTTTTTTTATTAAATGTTTTACAAATGCATCAATGGTATAATATTGTTAAATCATCAACTTGTATTAAGTTATATAGAATGATGCAAATAGATTAAACTGCAAGGTATTGAGTTGAACACAAAAAATCTGCACGTTATTAAGGATGATTACGTTGGAATATATTAGTATTTTAGGTGATTTTATATTGTAAGGGTGTTTTAGTATTTTGAGTTTAAGGTTTCTTGTGGGTTGAGGATTTCGATTCCTTGCCTATTAAGGATTAACAATCTGTTATTTAACTGTTATTAAAATTGGAGGAGTTGAATTAAGGAGAATTAAAATCATATTTTCATAAAAATTATTTACTAAAATGTTCTGGAATTGGAATAAAAATGGTACTGATTTCATAAAATTGTTTACTAATTCAGTAAAGTCGGAATATAAACGAGTATGATTACGTCTATTTGCAAACATCCGATATAAAAAAAAAATTAAATATGATTACTACAATGCCCATCTTCCCTATCCTTTCTTCTTTTCGGACTCTTCATCTTTATGTTTTTTCAACTAAATTGCTGTAAAACTCAACCCACCGACAATAAAAAAACCAATCCTTCATTTTCATTATTAATTATTATTTTGATACAATCGACACCATATCTCCTCAAGTCTCGTTCTGTATAGTTTAAAAATAAATAAATAAATAAATAAAACAACAACAACAGAGAGAACGGGAAGCGGACAGGCAATATCCCGGACCAGATGCAAATTTTATACGGAAGGATGACGGCCACTAAAAATCTCTATTTGGTATTAACATTTGCATGATTTTGGGAAAATTTTCATAATTGTGGTTTATTACAAATTTTAACTAATACTGAAATTTAACATGTTGTCCTTCAATCAAAATATTCAGATTAATAAAGTTTCAATCTAAGATTTTTGTCAATCAAGAACCGGAACCAAAGTTTCCCTTTTTTATAATGTTTGTGTCTCCCACTTACGATTAACAAATCTGTATCATGTGGAGTCAAAAATAATTTTAAAAATCTTGAAGACGACATGTGGACTTTATCCCGAAGAAGACAAGATTATCCTCATTAAATGGGCAATGCACACAAATACTCCCACACGTAGGCCCCTTGAAGTTCAAGCAGCATACTATGACTGCTCAAAGCCCCCTACTCGTGGCATGAAACAGTCAAAGGCATTAAAATTAATCATCAAATCCTATCTTTAATACATTCTTAATTGAAGATCAACTCCATCAAGTAAGGAATCCTCCTCATAACCAAGTAAGGATACTTCCACCATTGTTCCAAGATATTATCTCCTAATTAATATCTTGGGAATATTCTTTTCTAATTCATCCAACGGAGGGTATTTATTAAATATAGCAAAAAATTAACTCTTAATTTCAAAAATGTCACTTTTTATAATAAATTTCAAATATATCCAAAATTTCATTTAAATAGACACAAGTATCCTCAAATTTAATCAAATAAATTAAAGGCTCTTTAGCCAAAATGGTTCGTAACATTGACATAACTCCTTAGTCTGGTTCTTAACAATGAAAATCAATAGTAGTGTCCTTGAATTTGTCTATCGTGAATCATTTTAGTCTTTCTCTGAATTTGTCCATTGTGATCATTTTAGTCTTTTCATGAAAAATCTGTCAATTGCTCTATTAGTGCAACTATGTGGCGCCACGTGGATCTCACAAATACAATCATATAATGACAAGTGGATTAATTTTAAAAACTATTTTTATATTTAAAACTAAAAATGATATTAGTAAGAAAAATAAAAATAAAAATAAAAATAAATTAAAAGAAGAAGTCTTCTTCTTCAGTTGGTAGGTAAAATCCAATAGGCATGCCCAAATCAAAAACCCTAACCTACCTAAACCCTTATTCTCTCACAATCCAAACCCTCCACCTTCCAATCCAAATTTTTGCACGCTGAGATAAATTTAGTGGTTCTTTCTTAAAATTTTCTTTTTCCAATTGGGTTCGAAGATTATAGAGAATTGATGCGATTCGGAAAGAGTTTAAGCGTCCATGATTTAGCGACCGAGGCTGAGACTCAGGTCGTGGGAAGAAAGAAGGCATTGAAGGCATGATTGAAATTATGTTGTTCCCACTTGTGGTAACCACAACAACGCTCAATGTCGATGATGAGGGGGTCGAAGAGGATAGGATTATGATGGTGAAGTGTAGGAGCGAAGGTGAAGTTGGACCGGAACTTAAGTGGATGGAAGCTAAAAAGCCTTTAATTTATTTGATTGTAAAATTTGAGGGTATTTGTGTCTATTTAAGTGAAATTTTGGATATATTTGAATTTTTTTATAAATAGTTACATTTTTGAAATTAAAGATTAATTTTTGGCTATATTTGATAAATACTCTCTAACGGATGACACACATTGGCCAATTGGATGCCGCCATGTGTAAGGCAAAATTCTAACCTTGGTTGGCTACCTACTATAAATACATCAATCTCTACCAAATTTTGATAAGCTTTTTGCTACGCATACAAGCCCTAAACACTTCACTCTTTTCAAAGATACTGACTTAAGTATCGGAGATCCATTGACCAACCCTCCCCCACCCACCTCATCAGCGCGTGAGGCTTTGGTCTTTGATCAAAGGAGTTAACAGTACAAATTTATCAAGACTAAAGGCGGCAGATTTATACTACTACAGTCCAAACATCATAATCGGAACCATTTATTCTCTTTTCATCATTTAAAGACCATATGTGCAAAAAATAATTCAATATGAAGATCTTTTAGTCATTCACGTGCATAAGACAATTGGAGATTTCATCACGAGGATGCTCTAAAATATAAGTAGAGAACTTGTATAAAAGAAGTCAAAAGTTGAAAACCAATTTATCGCCCACCCCTATATACATATATTATTGTAAAAATAATGAATAAATAAATGAATAAAATTGTGAAAAATAAGGTAAAAAATCCACAATAACCTTTTTTGGATGGAAAATTTAAAGAAGTTAGTTGAGATGACAATTAATGATTTCAGAACATTCATATGACAAATTGCTTAAACTTTTAGTTCATATGGCAAATTAAAAAATATGCGTAAGTTCATATGACATTCGAAAAAATTTCCCTTGTCATTGATTGCTTGGAAGCATTGTTGTGTGCCTAAGGAGGAAGGTGGTTTAGGTCTTAAACAGTTAGTTGTTTTGAACCGCTCTTTGTTAATGAAGAAAGTTTGGATATTTTTTCATCTGATTCGGCTGGTTGTTCTTTTTTTTTTTTTTTTTTTTTTTTTCCTATAGAAAAGGAAAGTGAGAAGTTCGTATGCTCGTTCTTCAATTTGGTCTGGCATTAGATTACATTGGTCTTCTATTTGTTGAGCAAAGTAGATGGTTAGTGGGTTTCCAGTGAAAAGATTTATTTCTGGAGAGAATTTTGTTGGATCACCGTTGTTTGATCTTTTTGGTGTTAGAAGGGATGATGTTGATAGTCTTGAGGACACGGATGCTGATTTTATAAATGATGGTGTTTGGTCTTTCCTCCAATATTTCAACTGCACTTTCCTTTTATTTGCGAGTTTCTTCGGAAATATGTAACTATTTCCATGGCTGGCTAAGGATCCGATATGGTAATTTGGGAGCCCTCTCCTTCAGGTGAGCTCTCTGCTCGTGATGCATATAATTCATAAGGCCTCGTTTGCCGGTTGTTGGTTGGGGGAGATTGATTTGGTCTAAATTTATTCCTCCTAGAATGTCTATATTGGCATGGAAAGTTTTATGTGGTAGTGTTTTGACTGAGGACATGCTGCAAAAACGCTAAATTTTTATGGCATCTACATATGTTTTATGTTGTTTGCATATAGAATCTTTTGAGCATGTTTTTGTTATATGTACTTATACCATGTCAATTTGGCAGCATATTTAGGATTCTTTTGGCTTGGTTACACTTCATGGCTCCTTATTAGAACGCTTTCACCACTAGTTAGCCTTGAATAAAAGTTCACAATTACGAGATTTGTGGTTGCATCTTTTGTTTCGACTTTGTGGTGTATATAGTACTTGAGAAACCAAGCTCGGCGTGAAGGATTTAGTGTTAATGTTGCTTATGCCTTTAAGCTTATAGTTGATCAGATCCATTATTCAAATAGAATACGGTCTGGTTATATGAATAACGATGTTCGTGCTTTATGTGTGTTGAAGAGGTTTGGTGCTACATGTATGCCTCATCAAGCCCCCATCATTTTAGAGGTGTGTTGAATTCCTCCCTATCCTGGTTGGGTTAAGTTAAATATTGATGGTGCTTGAAAGAGTGGTTACTATTATGCTGTTACGGTGTTGTGTTTTGGGATTTCAAGGGTTAGTTCTTGGTGACTTTTGTTCTAACTTGAAGATTCCTAGCTCTGTTGCAGCGGAGGTAATAGCTATAATCAATGCTATTGAATTAGCTTCAGTTCAGGATTGGAATTTTATTTGGTTGGAGGCTTATTCTGTTTTGATTCTTGATTTCTTTCGCTCTCCTCAATTCGTGGAAGAATTGCTTGCATAGAATTTCCCAAATGCATTTTCGGTCTTCTCACATTTATAGGGAAGGTGATCAAGTTGTTGCCCCTTGCAAATCATGATTCCTCTTCTACTAGTATTGTTCAGGATTCTCCTCCTGATTTCATTTTGCCATATCATCAACGTGACCATGTAGGGCTTCCACATTACTGAACTTTTGTTGGCCGTGTTATATTTTATATAGGTTGTTCGAGGTTTTATTTGATATGAGTGTTATCATGGTCACAGTTAGGCTTTATGTCCCCTTGACAAATTGTATTTTCCTTCTTTTTTTTTTTTTTAATAAAGATCCTTCATTGTAAC